GTGTCACCGGAAATGACTTCAGCTTTTGATTTTTAAATGGCACCGTCGGTATTTTGTTACTTTATTCGATAGAAAATGACACTCTGAATAGAATGACATATCATATATCAACTTTTGACATTTTCACTTTGAACAAAATTGTATTTTAAATTTCAATCTAGAGTGCCATGGCTGTGTTATTAAAAACACTAATTTTTAATTAAGAAGCCTTGGAAAAATAGATTTGATCGTCTAATGTTTTTAGTGTCTTGTCTTCTGGTCGGTTAAAAGATGCCCAAATCGTGCTTTTAATCATATCTCAATTTTTTCAAATGGAACAAGGGTGGCTCATTAGAATATTAAGAAAGCATTTTTTTACGAAAAATTATTATATCTTATCTGTCTACAGGGTTGTTCACCACATACGACACGGAGTATTGTAGCTAAACGATTAGATTTTTTAAATAAGTTTTGGGTTCGTTGCAGGACTATTAGAGCTACAATTTAAAAATATTTTTACAAGATACAGAGTGTCCCAAATAAATAAAAAATATCAAAGTTGTATTTTTTTAAATGGAACACCCTGTATATTAATACATTTTTAGTTTCTACGATTAAAATATAGGTAAATTTGATTAAGGTTTATCACACTTAAACCTGACCGTTTTTGAAATATTTTCAATTTTGTGAAATTGCAGACAAAATTTTAAGGCTTCATTTCTCCAAGGGTATCAAAGATTTTAATACTAAATATTTACTGAAGTCTATTTATTGATCAGTTATTGGGTTACCTCATACAGAGTGTCTAAAAATGTATTTTAAATTATTTCAAGCTTTAAACGGCAATAACTTGTTTAGTTTGAATGGAACGCCCTGTATATTTTAGGAGAATTAGATGCACAATTTAATTGTCTATCAAATTGTATTACGGCACTTTTTACCTAACCCTTCAAGTTTTCGTATAAAATGCATTTTCTTATAATTTAGACCTCATTTATCAATATACCCACGGAATATTGACATTTTAGATTGTTTTTAAAGCAACAAAGATACAAAATGTACAGGCTAGTAATATTATCGTTTTTAGAAAAATGATAATATTACTAGCCCATTTGTATGCAAAAAGAAAACTATCTAAATCTTTATAAAAGAGTATACCATTAATTAAATATACCACCATTATTTCCGCCCAAATACTAATTAATTACATACTTAATTATGTTCCTTAATAAATTTCGCATTCCAAATCAAACCAAACCAAACCGTCCGCATGTCACTGAAAAGACAAGGCTACATATCAAGGAAGCCAAAATAAAATCCCTGCAATAACACCTCTACAAAGGCAGCGAAATATGGATTTTTGTCAACGTTTTCAAGAAGATAATTTTAATAATGTTTTTATTTCTGACGAAAGTTGTTTCCAGCTTGGTGGAAACCACCTCAAAATCCTATCAAAACAAAATGTTACCGTTCAAGTTTCAAAATTCCCCACTAAAATAATGGTTTGGGAAGCAATATCTCAGCGTGGTGCTACACCTCTGTGTATAGTTGATGGAACTATTAATAGTGCAAAATATTGTGATATTTTAAATGGTTTTCTTCTTGAAACGGTTCATGTTTTATATCCAGAGGGGTGGTGTTTTCAGCAGGATAATGCAAGATGTCATACCTCTGCCTCTACTCAAGCTTGGATGCAAGAACACCATTTGGCAACAATTCCATAGCCAGCAGCTTCACCAGACCTTAGTCCCATTGAAAACATATGGGAACTAATGAAGATTAAAGTGGAACGAGCAGCTCCACGAAATAAACAAGATTTGATTCGCTCAGTTGTCACTGAACATTTTGGTGTCGACCTAGTTTCGGGTGTACCTGGACGTTTAGTTAAGTGTTTGGAGTTAAATGGAGGTTGTATACGTAAATCAGAATTAATAAATGTAAAGATAGTATGAACAGAGACAACGGTCCAATTCCTTCAAGTTCTTTGTTCCTACTTCTCTAGTGGCGGAAATCTAACTGTTACGCTCAGTTGGCTCTGACTCGGTTGGCTAGCTTTTGCCACGCCCACTCGGTGCCCACTGGGCGAATATATAAACGCTCAACTTGTAGATTGTACTTTAGTTTATAATCATCTGCTGATGATGCTAACATGGTTAGCGAAACGCGCGTCCAGTGTAAAAGTAAAAGTGTTTTGGTGTATTGTGGTGATTTAGTGTTTTTATTTTGTCAATTTTGTATATAGAAATTTCTTAACAAAATATAAAATTGAATTAAAAACTGTTCATCACCACACAAATCCACTGAACAAATAAAGTATAACACTGCAACATTTTATAGCCAATACCAGGTGCGTTTCAAAAGTGGCTCACCCCTATAACTTTTTTTATTTTTTCAGATAAAAAACGAGATTTGGTATCACCAATATTTGGTGTATGACATATATATATATAAAATAGGATTGATTGACGTATTCAGTTGTTTTTGGTCACATCCTGTTTCACCGGAAATGACTACAACTTTTGATTTTTAAATGGCACCCTCGGTATTTTTTTGCTTTATTCGATAGAAAATGACATTTTGAATAGAATGACACATCATATGTCAGCTTTTGACATTCTCGCTTATTAAAAAATCGGTATTTTAAAATTCAATCTGGAGTGCCATGGCTGTGTTAAAAACACTAATCCGTAATCAAGGAGCCTTGGAAAAATAGATTTGATCGTCTAATGATTTTAGTGTCTTGTTCTGGCCAGTTAGAAAATGCTCAAATCGTATTTTTAATCATATCTCAATATTTGGAATGGAATGAGGGTGGCTCATTAGCATATTTGGAAAAAGCATAAAAAGCATTTTTACGAATAATTTGATACCACACACTTGGTATTTCGAGTCAAATTTTCGTAACGAACCGCAAGTTATAATTTCAAATAAGCCATATGCGAAAATGTCAAAAGTTGACATTTATGATGTCAGTGTATTCACAGTTCACAGTGTTATTTTCTATCTAATAAAGTAAAAAAATATCGAGGGTGCCATTTAAAAATCAAAAAATGTAGTCATTTCCGGTGAAACACGACGTGACCGAAAACAATTGAATACGTCAATCAATCCTAATTTATGTCATATACTAACATACCAAATCTTGTTTTTTTAACTGAAAAAATAAAAAAAGTTATAGGGGTGAGCCACTTTTTAGACGCACCCGGTATATAATTACAGCCAGGATTGATAGTTATAATGTTTTTTTCTATATTGTTAAGACATGGTATTTTTTGGACGAAGAAGGATATATTAAAATCAATGTTAAACATACTTATTACAGCAAGCGACGCGACGTTTGCGTGTGGAAAATTGATGAAATTATAGTTAAACCAAATGTCAAACGAAGTAATAACTCAACAACATAAAAATTTTCTTCAATTATTATTGATATTAACGGTAATACCACATTCTGCAATTGATTATAGAGTCAAATATATAATTTCAATAAAAACACCAGGATATTTTTTTTATTATTTACAAATAATTTTACTTTTAAAGTATTATTGAAAGTGAATAATATTTTCATATTGAATTTTGATATAAATATTGTATTTATTATTGTGTGTAATAAATGTAACATTTTGGCAATATCTACTGACGTAAAACATAATCTTGATATGTTTTTGCAGTTAAAATTAGCAATTTTGTTGATGTAAAGTCGAACTGATATCTTAATTGAATTTCTCAGACAATCATGATGAAAAACAACACGTTGAAGTGTTGTTTTAATTAAATAAAAAGCATTCAACAGATGTTATGTTACAATCTTAAAATAAAATGAATTTGCAGCAAGGTCTCTTTTCTATTCTATAAGAATAGAATTCTGCTATAGGAATTACTATAGATTTCTCGAATTGTTTAATAAATTAGCGTGGCAACTTGACAAGTTACTCATTTTTCAAAATCGAGCATTCAGGATATTGATTAATGGTGGGTTCATACTTCGAGTATTAGTCCTAACCTTACCCTTAACATTTACCCTGAGAAATTAACCTTAAGAACTTAAGGAAATGCCGCTCATACTTCTCCTACTTGTTTTGAGAATATTCTAGTTATTAAATTCCGGTCTATCAATGGCGTTTCTTTTTTTTCAATCGTGAGAGATATAAAGCAAAGTAGGCTCCATAAATGTCATTTTACTTTTACGTGTCCGGACAATAAATATGTACATATATAAGTGCAATTTAATAAAACCATTGAGTAATACCACTAATACGAAGTAATGCCAACATCTTATACACCAAAATAGGGTTACCAGAGGTCCGCATTAATCCGGACATGTCCGGATTTTCACTACATCCGGTTGGGTCGGTGCGGATTTTTTATAAGCGTCCGGATTTTAATGTTCCATTAAAAATTTCCGAATAATGCAAAATAATATATTAGTTTTAATAAATTTAGTTGCTTAAAAAATTGTCGACAAATGCAGCAGTGTAAATTCGTTGTTTTATTGCGTAAGTTTTAACTGTATTTAAAAAAAGTTATAAATGTATATTTGCCGATATGACGTCCGGATTTTGTCCGAATTTTTGGGAAGGCTTGCCCGGGATGGACAAGTTTTCAACTGGGAACCCAAACCAAAATAGACCAGCAGTTTACCCCTCGATGACCGCTATAGTCTGCCCTGCTGAAGATTTCGACAGACCGCATCCTAAAACCGATAGAAAATACAATTTACCTGTAAATTAAAATGACAGACACAACTGTCACTGTCATATTCTCTGTGGCTGGACATAGAAGTTATTATTTATACTATAGTATATATATATATATATATATATATATATATATATATATATATATATATATATATATATATAATATTATTATTATATATATAGCAATATTCTAATTGAAGCATAATGATATGGGAATTGAAAGTCATGAGACTTGTCCATATATATAAGAAAAAATAATATTTCTCAAATTACCCACGTATTAAACAAGCAATATTTCATATATTTTATTGTTTATTTCAGATTTATTATTTTCCGGAGGATATTCCTTATAATGTCCCTCCTCTACATGTACAGAGCCATTACAATGTACGTCACCGTCTTGCCTTTGTCCAGCCGGACATACCGTTGCTCGCCCAAATCCAACGAGACCTCAGCCATTCTCATTGCCAAGCGAGTGCTGCACCTGATGAGCGGCTTTGGTCTTTCCGTCAACGGGAAACACACTTTCTGCGGAGATTTCATCTACAGCGGCCATACCGTCATTCTGGTATTCAGTTATTTGATTATAGCTGAATGTGAGTATAGATCATACTAAAATAACTTTTAGTCACGTGATTAAGCTTGACCGGCACAGCGTTGCCGACTTTTACATATTTTCTTTTAATCAAACAATTTTAGGAATCAAAAATTAATTAATTATAAATATATAAACAGTTCTTATTTACATGAACTAAACTCACCTCCTTAACAGCACTTAAGGGACATGAAGGACTTAAGGGACATGATACTACAGCTTTCCCGTTAAAAATATTCTAATAAGGTTGCGATGAGTTTTTTGCAACGGCTGTTAAGCTGCTTCGGCATCTTGTACACTTCGCCCAACATATACAAGTAAAATGTAAACAAACCGATTGTTTATTTACAGTTTTATTTGACCATAAACTTAATATAATAATTTGACAACATCATTAACGAAGTTTTAGGCTCAACATATATAAAAACCATATACAACAACAGTTGAGGAGCAGACTTTCTAGATGCATCTTGTCTATTTTTTCGAATTTTGGCAAACAAAGAAAAACTGTTACGCTTTTTGCAAAAACTTAAAAAATTATATTTATTGCAATGTCGTTCTCCTACAGTAATAATTGCAATAAATTTCAATAGTAAATTTTAGTTCTGCTTTAAAAATTCTTCTGGTGTCCAAGACTGCAATGCTGAAAAGTATTCAGAATGTTTAATATATCAAACCACTTTAAGGCTCAATAATATCTTAATAGTAGTAACATTGGAATTTAAAAATTCTCAAAAATTATTTTTTGTTTGTTCTTTTTACAGATACTCCGAAGAAGTTCATTCTATTAAGAATCATCCACTGGTTGTACTGGATCTTAGGTGTTATTGGTGTTACAATGTTACAACTATCCCATGGGCATTATACTGTCGATGTTTTAATAGCTTATTATGTAACTACTCGAATATTTTGGATCTATCACACATTAGCCAATAACAGTAATCTAAAAGTAAGTATATATTATAATAAACATATACATGTGTGTATTACTAGTTTTCATTTAAAATGAATTTTAAGTGAATTTCATAGTAGACTCTACACGTAATACACATAGTAGTTTTACTACACGTAATGTATATTATAAAGTTGTGAAAAATATTCCTTTATTTCTCTCGATTTTTGACCGAGATCTATCGCAGTTACACAACTTGCTATATTAAATATTATAGTCCTTTTTCTGGGATTCGCAATAATGTCACTGTTAATTTTAGTTCCTGACACAAAATATCCTTCTAGACTTACTACCTCTAAACAAAACCAATAATTGTAGAATAAATAATAAATAACATAAAATAAGGTCAGAAAAGCCGAACAAATCCATAAAATTTCAAATCAAATTCAAATGTGTCAAAGTGTCAAACAAAACTGCCAAACATGGAGCGTTGTGATATCGATTCCCGAAAATCGATTATAAAACTCCTTCCTTATTTTTTTGGTCAAATAGCAAATCGGGCATTTGAATAAAAAAGTAAGTAAGGTCCTAATTGTTGAATATTTTTTGTATGTATATATGGGGGTTATAACGTTCTACGACGTCTTCCAATTTCTAGTCTCCATTGTTGCCCATGATACAAAGAAAACCAGGTATGATAATGCGTAGGTTGTTCACTATGGTACAGGTTATTATCTTGCCAGAGGTTTCCGTCTAATTGTCTCTCTCTGTCTTCTATTTCTCGATCTACTCCCTCTCTCCAGCTTTTTCTTGGCCTTCCCTATTGCGCCTACCAGTAGGTGTCCAATTCAGAATTGCTGGATATTTCTACAGGGTCCGGCAATAGTGCCTCAGGCATCTGTAGCTCCTGGAATAAAAAACTTGGGAATTTTGTTGTAGTGTAAACCTAAAGTATGTTCGAGGATGTATTTCAAGAAAATATTATAACTTCTACAAGGTGGCTCAAAAAAGTGTGAGCGGATCGGGATGGTTTTTTAAATGGAATATACCCTGTATATTATTGCATTTTTGGCTTCCTTTCAAATCACTTTACATAATCCTAAGATGTGAGTAAATATACCCTTGAAAGAACATACTTTAGGTTTGCACTTAAACAAAATTCCCAAGATTTTAATTCTAGCAGCTACAGATGCCCTATTGCCGAACCCTGTATATTATATTTAGAGTTTCCGAATAGGCGCCCGCATTTATCCGGACATATCTCCGGGAAATCTAAACGAAAAAAAACTTAACTTTGTTGAATATTTTTACCGTTACAATGTCACATAATCTACTAAGCAACATTGTTAGAAAATACAAATATTTGGTGTCATTTTTCATTTTTGATGCCCTCCCTCTAAGATATGAATTGTGATTTTTTTTCTCTTTCATTTGTTATGATTACGTGCGCTTTATGAATATAAATATGTTCAGTTGTACCTGTTATTTTACAAGTAAATTGTACCGTATGATCGAAAAAAAAAACGGCGTCAGCGATGGTTATGAAATGAAGATCGCTGTCATTTTACGCCCTGCTGGTCATCCAATTTATGTGGTCTGGATTTTAATGAGTGTAAGAGAGAATAATTTAAATGACCGGTTGACAGACACACAAAATTAAAAGCGGCATACAGTGTTGTCGGTTTTTTACGTTTATAGGAAGATGTGTGTAGAAAAATATAAGCTATTTTAAAAACTTTCATGTATACTACTGAAATGATAATAATATATCTAAACTAAATATAATCTATTACAGCTGTAGTAAAATGAGTAACTAACATGTTTTGGGAATCACAAACAGGCCCGGCAGCTAAAAATATAAATAAGAAACAATCAAAGTAAAACATATTTGTCAAATGAACAAAGTCAAGTAACAAAACAATAAAATACGGGTACAAGTCATAAAAGTTATTTGTACAAAGAAATGGTTACAGAATGCTAAGCTGAGATTTAACAAATAAATTACAATTACCATGGCAGCATTTATCCATCTAAAATTTCTCAAATATCATGAGTACTTAAAACTATTTCTAAATGAATTGGGAAAATTCAGATTTAGAAAAGAGTAACACTTCTTCAAGTGCCTTTAATTTTCCCTTTAAAGTCTATCCGTCTGTCCAACGAGTCAGGGAGAATTTCTTCAGATGACATCCAAACAATAATAGAAATATAATTTACTTGTTAATTAAAATGACAACAACTCTCACGATTAGGTATCTCTGGTGAACGAAGTCCTCATTTCCCCAGAATTTTTAATTCTCAACAGGTATTTAAACTCTGATTACATTTATTTACTATATTCCTACTTAGAGAATCAACCTGCAACACTATTGTACTAATGTTTTTTTTTTTAATTTTGTTTCAGCAATTTTCCTCGAATAATCTCCTGAGTCGGTCGTGGTGGTTTCCAATATTTATGTACTTCGAAAGCAACGTGGGAGGGCCCATTCCGAGACAGTTCGATTGGCCCCTGCCCTGGCCGAGAAGATGGAACTCGAAAAGCCGCGACAGTTAGTGCAAATTTAGCTGAAATAAAAGAATAGTACCTAAAAACTATTTATAAAAAAATGATATAAATGTGATAATAAAGATAAGTGTTAGCGCCTTAAAAGTTAATTTGAGTGTGCTGTGTAAACAGGGTTATTTGTTTACGTTTGAAGATATTTACATAATGCTAAAATCATCTTGATATTCTGTCTAGAGAATAGTAACTGTTTTCTTAGTTTTAATCTCTGTGATGTAAAGCTAAGTAATAATTGTGAAATTGGATATAGCACATATTTACAAAAATTTAGATAATTGTTGGAAATAATAAGAACTCAATCCATTTTTTTTTTCTTAATACAAATTAACTACAGTATACACATACATAGTGTGAACCAAAAATAAGGTTGTTTATATGACGTATTTATAATTCAACTTAAAAGACTGAGTTTGTTTATTTAGCACTGGAAAATTTAAATGCAAATAGATATTACGAAAAAAATAGCTTTAATTAATGTGAATTTTGTTTCAGTGGCCAATATACCCAGAACTTGTAAGTTGTAACAGAATACTGATATGAGTATTATCAAAGTCTAATTAACTATACCATATTTAAAGATAAAATAGTTGTTTAATGTATTTGAAGTAAATGAGCATAAATAGGTACTTAATTTAAAAATAGGGTCAAATTCTTAATTTAAATATTGTTTTGGTATCAGAACATAATTATTTTTTCTCTGAGGTCTTAACTATTCGCACAATTCATTTTTCAGTTTTTATTTTAATACTAAGTCAGGTAAAAATAAGGAAACTATAATCTGTTCATGTGTTTACTGAATTGCTACACTTAATAATAATTCTTTGTTCAAAATATGCCATCGAAAAACGCAGTCTCAATAGCATTTGAAATAATAAAAGATAAATTCTATTTGGGCCGTTGTAACAGAAGTTACACAAAAAAGTAATACGTCTTAAGTATTTTTATTTTATTTAAAATATACCTTTAAGGAAACAATTTACAAAAATACGCTTTGAAATCCTCAATTATGCTGTGTTCACACTATGCAGTGTCTACTGAATGCCTAAACATTTTAGATTGAGATGCGACACATGAAAGATGATTCTCAAACATAACCAGATAATTCTAAAAACTTTTCAATATGGGCTGCTTCGACTCTCGCCTGGCCACTATACGTAGTTAAATATAATATATATACAAAACATGAATTAATTTTTTGCCTGGTATTTTAGTTCAATTGATATTTCCGGAAATCTTTTCTTAAAGACTTTTTATATGAATATTTTAAGTAGATTTTTTAAGACGACTTAGATAATATATGTATATTTGCTGAGATATAATTATTGATATTTTTTAAGTTTTCTAATTATTTATCTAATTGTAATAAAGTGGGAAATCACAGGTAATTATACCAGACCACAGGGTGGTAGACTTCACGTAGATATATGTCACTAATTTTGATATGTGAATGTTCAATGGTGCCAATATGGTCAAAACATTTTTACGATTTTTGATAAACTGCGTTGCTGCTGAGTATTGTTGACAAGGAATGTTCCACCATCTTAAAAGACTAATTGACGTGTCTGATTATATTTCCGAAAAAAATATTTTAAATTGCTGAAAACAAAATAAGAATTACACAAAGTAGGAACTGTAGTTTACTGATTTCTGTATTAAATATTAATTTTTGACAAATTTTATGTCAATTTTTAATAAGCGACATCATTTCAAATACTATTATTACGTTTTTAATTGTAATCAACTCAAGAATATGTAGGAATAACCTACTAGCATTGAATAAGGCAATGTGCAGTGCAATTTATTTAACTAATAATTTGTACAACTTAAACACAATAATCAGCAGGAACAAATTGACCTGACATCTACCACATAATGCACATAGTAGACTAATGAGGCAAACTGGAATTGTAAAACTATTGAACTTCTAAATTTTTACCACGCATTTAGTTCATTAAACCTTTATATTATATATTTTTTTTGTAAAAATTGTAAATTAGTGATTTTCCTCGAATTTGCTTATTTAAAAAAAACAGGTCTGTCTTAGTTTTGGCTTATTTTCTACTTATATAAGGACTGAAAAGTTATGTTCATAAGCCACAAAATGTGAATCTCATTTCATAGATATTTGATGTCATCCATTAAGTATACATCATAAGGGATTTTTTGGATTATTTGGTATATTTGACTACTTGATTTATGTTTTATATAAAAAACATTATTAATTGTAAAATATAAAAATATATTAGTTAAAAAAATAATGTAAAGTAGTTATAATTCTTACTAATACTTCAAAGTTCACTACTTTTTAAGTTAAATAATTATATGTAGTAAATAATAATTAAAACATATTAAGTAAGAATGATAATGGATTGTACTAGAAAGTTTAAAATTAATAATATAAGTTATTATTTAAGACAATCATGTGTGATAGAAGACAATGCAAATATAAATTAATAATTTTCAAAATGAAATCAAATATTTAAGAAAATCTTTCCCTTAGATGTACACTTGGATTATGACACATAGTTTTATTTAATTTGTTGTTAAGACAATATGTGAAACTTTTTTCGTTGGATGAAATGAATAAATAAATTATTTTTATAGCCTATACATTCTATAATGGTTTTTATTTTAGAAATTTCTATATTTATAAATATGTAGTAGAAATAAAGATTGCATTCCACAATTACTTTCTTTAAAGATTTTTTTGGTTGTGGCTATAATAATGAAATAATTCTTTAAGAATTAAGAAAAAAAATTATTGAATTTTATCAGAATTTTTACTAATTAATCAACACATCTATTTTGGGAATTATTTCAATACTGGCCACGAACAATTGATCAGAATTTTAGTACCTATATTATTGTTAAATTAAATGGTTTAATATATTTGTACTGAAGAATGTGTATATTACTTTTAAGTTACTCTCGAACTAACATATAGAAAATATATAATTAATTTATTCACATGAAATGCAATATATTCTATATGTTGATGTAAATCAAAATTTTTTGTACGCTTTTCAAGAGTATTTATGTCAAAGTGACTTATTTGTAAGGTAAGATTTTCAGTTATGTAGTTACCAATGCTGATTATGTTAACTTTATATATGCGATTGATACAACAACTATACTGCAGTGTACATTTAAAATTGTTAAACGTTTCTTTTGGTAAAAAAACAAATTTAAACCAGTATACACTGTTATATTTTCTAATATTTCTAAATCGGTTGTCAAAAAAATGTGATGGTTTGTATTATCAATACATGATAGATAGAAATTTATCGATGTTAATAATTTCGAATGATTGTTAAAATACAGAATTATTTTCCTTAAATTTGCATTTTATTTAGTCCCAGAACAATAGAAACATGTTTATATTAATACGCAAACGATTTAATTCAAGCAGTGGCGGTGTTAGATCATTAAATTTTACGTGAATTGTACAAATATTTAAAGATATGAAATGACTTCAATTCATAGCAGTATTATACCAGTGGCACATCTATAGATTTAGTCTGGGAGGGGCAGTGGCAATATTTAAGGAAAAAAAATTTCACAAAACACAACAACATCACAAAAGTATGAATTAATGGAAATCCTCTAATAAGGGGAAGAAGACATAAACATCCAGTGGCGTGCAGTACCATTTACAGTAGGGTAAGCAACAGAATCAAAAATATGAAAAAACTAAAAAAAACGTATGTATTACATAAAATATGTACAATGTACGTATATAAAATTTACTGTCTAACGTATTTTAACTTTAAACTCATACAAAAGAAAATTCAAATAACAGCAAATAAATTTAATTATTTATAGATTAATTCGAAACGGCATTCTTTCCTTGTCTAGGGTATCGTGAGTTTTAGTGTCGTTTAGTGTCTTTACTCGACTCTCTATTAATAATAAGTCTTGTAACTTCATCAAGGGTGTTCATGGGAAAATTCCATCTTGCTACTTGTTACCAATGTGACCATCAGTACCGTTATTTAGATATATAAGGTACGACCTGTCCTTCAATAACTCAACTTGTGGAAAATAAACAGATTTCAAATTTTAGATTTTTCTTCCATTATATTATAGTAGAATGTTGAAGAAACACGGAAACGCACATTTGTATCTGGCATATTAAAATGATTATAACTTATAACCCCAGAAATGATGCACCAGCGGAATATCATTATAGATATAGGTATATAAAATACATGAAATTGTAAAGGATCAGCAAAGTAAAATTTTCGTAACAGTGAATATTGTCATCGAAAAACTGTATAGAATCTGTATTTATGCGTTATCGATACTATATAGTTCTTTATTTATGTTATAAATATCATTCATCTAGTCTCTATAGGAGAACATATAGAGGCAGTGCTTTATGGTTGCTATAAAGATTAAATACAGAACATGTCTGTAAAGGAAATATTTGAGTATTCTTTAAATATGCTTTATATATGAAGTCTTTATCGCGACATCTTTATAGAGCTTATAGAGCTCTTTCAAAACCCGAAATAAAAAATGCAGGTCCGTATTTAAAAAAATTAAGTTGACCTCTGTATCTCACATATTATCAGCTAATTTGAAAATCAAAATAAAACACTAAATCGCCACAATACGCCAAAACACTTTTACACTGCACGCGCGTTTCGCTAACCATGTTAGCATCATCAGCAGATGATTAAACTTAGTTTAATAAGTATAGTAAAAGTGTTTTGGTGTATTGTGGTGATTTAGTGTTTTATTTTGCTGTGTGACACCAAAAGCTCCAACCCCCAACTGTAATAATTTGAAAATCTAAAAATACTATCAGATAGCCCTAATAAAGTGGCTATGTGAATGTCCAATTAGTTTTTTGATGTTCTAAAACGTTAAGGAAAACGTTAGGAAAAAATAAAATTGATTTTCAAAAAAATCCGTTTTTTCCAAAAAACTCAGTAATCCTTGAAATTTATAAAACTTTTTTTGATGGCATCTTGATGAACATCCCAAAGCGCAACTTTGCCCAATTTAACTATCTACGTATCTATTACGGTTACCGAGATACCAAAGCTCGTACCTCGAATTTGTAGCACCCTGTATAAATCTACAAATTAATAGAAAATCTAATTATTTCTATATCTAATTAGATGTCAACTCTATACAACCAAACGTTCGATTTGACCTTTATTGCCAGTTGCTAAGGTAACACGACCATAACACGACTTTACCTCTGACTTTACCATTTACATACAAAACATACAAATGGTAAACATGTCAAACATGTTCACGGTAAAGCACAATGAATGCATTGGTTTTGAATCCAGGTGGAAAGTAAAAAAGTAAGTTTTCTTCACTTCTTTTATTTATAATTTCATAGTATTATTTTTATAAACATTTATTTTATACTTCTAAACATTTCTTTAATTCAGGCTTTCCACCGACACCACAACACAAACAACTGAATTCTCTGTTTCTGAGAAAGCTTGCAGTACATTAGAACATGAAAGTAAAGATGTCCAGACAATATCTACCGAAACCGAGACGCATAAAGAAGTCGATATGGAAAAACTGGCGGAATGGCTAAATCGAATCTATCCATCAGTGAAAAAGCAAATTGACAACGTTAATAACAGTAAAGTTCTCAAAAATTATAAACTATTAGACGATAACACTGATGTCACTTGTAAACTAATACAGCAGCTTAAAGTTAATGCAATAAATGAGAATGGCGACAAAGCGGTATGTTATCCATATACATTAAACCAAGAAAAAATCAATTTATTCTGTAAATAATAAATTTCCTTAGCTATCTAAAATATCCTGTGCTATTTGGAACTACAGTGGAAAATGTCTGGCAGTTTCATCTAATTTCAAGCATAAGTCATGGTGTTATCACCCTGGACAAGCCTTGATCTACCCATTTTCTAGGTAGATTATTTTAAAACAAGAACTTATATAATTACATTAAACTCTATTACTTTTAGAGAAGAAAAGTTGTCCGAAAATCCTAAAAAAAGACTAGCAACTGAATCTTGCGTAACCGTATTAAAATTTCATCCTACAAATGATGATATTTTAGCAGCTGGTACTTTTACAGGTATAGTATATAAACACCATTCATTCTAATTCAATGTACCACCTATAAATATCTTGTGGCGGCTCATCTTAAAGTGAGAACAAGTTATGTCTATGCAGCTACAGGTATTCTAAAATACACCAATGGCAATTTGAATTTTAAGGGCAAGTTTATATATGGAACGTAAGCAATGATATTGATCCATTATTATGCAATTTATCCGTACATGAACAAGCGATAACTCAAATATCCTGGGTAAACGATGCCGAAAATTCCAAGAATCTGAATTTAGCTACATCAAGCACAGATGGATTATTGAAAATGTGGATTTTCTCAAACACTGAAGCGTCTTTAACGCCAAAAATTGTGTAAGTATATAGATATAGTTAAAATATAGATCCAAGAATTGACAACAACAGATGTAATATCTTAGTTTTAAAATTAAACCGCCAATATTTGGAAAATTAAATCATTCCACAACAGTGCCAATATCTCTCACAAGCAAAGAAGATTTAGGAATAATATGTTTTAACTTTTCCAAACACATTCCAGATCTATTTATTGTAGCCCTTGAAGGTGGCTTAATAGCTAGATGCTCTGTTCTGGGAAGTACTAAAATCAAAGGTTTAAAAAAGTCACTTTTGAACTAAACATAAATATATACCAATAAATTTTAGGACCTGATAAAAACATAGCATTTGATCCTATCTTTAAATACTACCAACCCCACAAAGGTGAAATAGCGTCTGTGAAATTTTCGTTAACGCATAAAGATATGTTTCTAACTTGTGGAACTGATGGAGAAATTCGAATATATCTAATCGACCAAGATGATCCTGCACAGATAATATTCACTAAATCCGGTCAAAATGATCTATCATTTGTGCCGCACGAACAGAAGTTGTTGGCTACTTGTGGTCAAAAAGGCACTTTGGAAGTGTACAATTTTATGAATGGAAAAGCAATTGATTTAGTTTTTAACACGAAAATCACTAAGAGAAATTTGACCAGTTTAGCCATCAATCAAAAGAGGTAGGTGTGTTAACAATAGTAGGTATAGATCGAGTAGCATCACCCCAATCAATAATTATAATTATTATTGCATATATTGGATTAAGTACACACAACCAAACTTATATGGAATCATCTATTATTTTTCATAATTTTTGAGACTTATGAAAATGTTGTTTGTTTTTGAATAAAACTCAGTCCTTACCAATGACTTTTAATGCAAAATAATCCATATAGCAATAAAAGAAAATAATCAGTTCCGAAAATAAACACAATGGTATTTTTTTGGTTTCTGAAACGAAATTAGGTTTTAAATTTTTAATGACCAAAAAGCAAAAACAAAAAGAAAATTGATAATTTAATCCTTGTTGTTACCTTTAGCCCTTATTCAAGCTTCTAGCCGCGCTGGCATGTTTCTTATTAAATTATCAACGTTATCTTGGGGTATGTTTTCCTATTCTGCTAATGCTGCTTAAAGAAGCTATGTCATATTTCCTGGATTGTTTCGACGAACTCTAACCCTTCTTTTGAGCTGGTCCCACAAGTGTTCGATAGGGTTTCGATCTGGTGAACATGCAGGCCAGTCCAAAACTATGACACCTTCCTTTTCAAGACAGTCTCTAGTCACTCTGCTGGAATGGGAAGGTGCACTATCGTGCATGAAGTTGAAATTATTTCCAATTGCAGCTCTCCAAAGGCTAATGATTGGTTCTAGCACTAAATCAACATACCTCCGACCCGTTAAAGTTTGTTGCAGTGGTAACAATGGAGTTTTTGCTTCCAGCATAATACCTCCCTAGAACATTACAGTTCCTCCTTTATATCTTGGTACAGATTTGGCAGCCTGGGCTGGAACTCTGTAACTAAATAGCGATCGGTAGCGATAAAGAATACTGACCTTGGCCGTACAAAGTAAATGGCAAGCGAGAGTATTCTTCATCGCTACCGATCGCTATTTCGTTACAGAGTTCCACCCCTGGAGTCTCGCTCGTCTTCCTGGAGCTCTGAGAACCCGAATTGGATGGTCATCTGATCTTAGGGCAATTCTGCCCTCATCAGAAAAAGGGCATTTTGCCAATTCTCAGTTGTCCAGTTTTAATGTTGAAGGCATCAATTTAGCCGGTCAATTTTATTTTGCCGAGATAACTGTGGGATCCGTAACTCTCACCTGCTGTAAAACCTTAGAGCACGAAGCCTTTTTCTTATGGTTTCAACTGAAACGTTCACACCTGTAGCTGCCAGAAGTTGTCTTTCTAGCTCTGGATGAGAAATTGGAAACTGGATTTTTTTTAGCAATTTGGCACACAAGGCGGTCTTGTTGTTCAGTTGTGACTCTTTGACGACTTTGTCTGGGCCTGTTCTTGTGTGTTCATAACTCCAAGTACATTGCATATGTTTTCGATACAACACACTGGGTAACGTCTACTATCTCTGCTAAGTCTCTTTGGGGCATTCCTTCTTCAACAAAAGCGATAATTCTTCCCCTCTGTACATCTGTTAATACAACATAAGGCACTTTTTTATTTTTTGTGTTGAATGAAAATTACCGGACAATCGTGATTTTACTACTGAACACAAAATTCAAAGGAGAATAAACCGCAGCAGTAGTTTATTCTTTATTATCACGTTTATTTACAACAAAAAGCCTTACCTTAAAGTTGTATACCATTTTTTTTCCTTGCAAGAAATTTAGTCAGAAATAAAGAGTGATTCCATATAAGTTTGGTTGTGTGTATTTCGGCCGCCCATTGCTTGCTATTGGATAATTTGATGATACACATGAGAAATTATAATGTAGATACTTATTTGTTTCTACGCTATAAATAATATTTCGGAGTTATTTCGGCATTGACTGACTATAAAGCCAAAAACGATCACAGAAAAAGATTATGATAGGTCTAGCCGGGCTTCTTTATGTCTGGCTACTCTACAAAATATAATATCGTAAAAATAATAATCAAGGAAATTTTTGTTGCTATAAGAATCCAACCATTTTTTTTTTCTTTAAAATAGCCACTACTGCTAAATAATTCATATTATGATTACCCGATTTATACTGTAAAATCTATTCTGTTTATTACTGTTTTATAATGCATGCCAAAAATGGCACTATTTTTTTAATCGATCCTGAATGCTATATATCTTCTATATACTAAATTCTATTTATTTAAGGGAAAATTACGTGGTTATTGGAAATGATATTGGAGATATACAACTATGGAATGTACCCTGGAATATACTAACATAAATGCTACATTAGCACCTACCATAAACAAGGGCAGTACAACTTATCACAACCTACTCCCTATTCTTGTATAAAACCCTGTCAATAAAGACCTACAAATTAAGTATCAAAGCGTGTCATTATTATCGTGATATTTAGCATGCTAAAATAATAATATTGCACACCTATATCACAGCCTATTCAATAGACCACAATAGACAGCAAACTTTGCTAGTTTATGAGTACCCGCACTTCACTTGAAGCACCTGTTCTTCTCTTGACGCACAGCTTCTGAATAGCTCAGAATCTAACTTGTTACATAAGATAAGCGAATATTTAAGTAAGAATTCTAGGTAAATAATCGTTAAGTCGAGTGGCTGTTTAATGAATATGTTGTGGCACCATCAGCCTTAGTTTTTATAAACCGAGCTTCACTGGAGCTCAGACTGCGACTTGTTACATAACATTCGATAAGCGAATATCTAGGTAGGTATACAGAATTCCATGTAAAAGTTCGTAAGTTGACTGGCTGTCTTATGAATAGGCTGTGCTATCATACTAGTAGAGCTATTCAAAAACACAGGGTGTCCCAGGCTGAGCGTGCATTAGAAGTTTCTAGAGAACTACAATATCTATATCGGTGATTTTTTGCATAGTCACTACGAGATCTATTAATTAAAAATATTTTCAATATGGCGGTACTTCCGGAAATACCGGAAGTTAACAGCAACTCTCTTATTTTAAATAGATACCTACATTTTTTATTGCATACTTAAATTCTCTGTAAAATTTTATGAATTTTGATATCAAACACTCTAATCATTAGATACCCCTAACATTAACCGTTTTTGAGAAAAAAAAATATTTAAAATTTTTGGAGGAAAAAGACTGTCTGCAAAAAAATCTGTATAGACTAAACGACAAATTTTGTGATTAGTGATTACCACAGCCATGTGGCATAAAGAGAAGACATGTGGCTATTCTATTTCAAAAATTAAATTGTTCGAATGTCATATAATATTTGCCGTAGCTGTCATGAAATTCAGCGATTAAAAAATTATCATAAATAATTTTTTTTCAAATGGAAGTCCACTTTTTTATTTCACCAGTGAAAAGGTTTTTCAATTTATTACTTTTTAAGAAATGTCTATACCTATGTGGCGGATTCATCTATCCAAAAAAATCCTTTATGGGTTTTTCGCCACTGCACTGCACTTATTACTTTTTGATTATACATGTTGCTATACCTAAAATAAATCGTTTTTAAGTTGTTTAAGATTTAGTTTTAAAGCGTAATTTTGTCTTGATTTTATAAGGATTTTATATAGCTTTCTTTGACATTAAGTGTCAAACCATCAGACAATTTGTCAAAAAACTAATTATTTAAATTTTGTATATTATAAATACTGCTGATAAAAATTTACAAAGTGTATTTATAAAAATATATCTCATATTTTAGTGATAGCTAATTTTGTCAATATGACATGGCCACATATAGTTTTACATCGCGTGACGTTTAAAGTCATAAGCAACTGGTTGACAAACAAAAAATACAGGGTGGCGCATCTCATACGCCGCGGAAGCTCCAAGGAGAACGGTAGTTTATATCGAAATGAAATTTTGGCAGCGTATGTAGGTTAACTAAAAGCATTTTGTAAAAATATATAAAATTATACAGGGTGTCCCCCAAAAAAATTACACATCAAAGTTGTGTTTTTTCTAATGGAACACCCTATATATTAACTGATTTTTGGATTCTAGGAAGAAAACCAAGGTGAGTTTTATTAAAGAAGCGTATACCTAAAATCTAAGGATTTTGATATATTTCACATTTTGTGAAAATGAAGAGTAAATTTTAGTTGACCTTGAATAGCCTCATATTTAATTATAGCAACCATTGTATGTTAAACCAAATTAAAATTTGACCCAAAAAGTTATACAAGGTAAGACAAAATTAATATGGAACATTAGTCATTTTTAAATGCAAGTTACTTCTTTATTTTAGATGGAACACCCAGTATATTATTCCGGTGTTCAATGGGGAATTTATATATCTTCAAAATATTATTAAGGTTGCCTACCCCTCAGACAAAAATTTTCATAGATATTTTATTTTTTATGATTTTGCATCAGTAGATCTTTATTATTTGAAAAAATCTAGGTGGCTGGTGAAATATACTTTGTTAATTTAATAAAAATTGAAGATTGTAAAGTAAAATACTCAACGGTAATAAAAAGACACACGTTTAAAACTTATTTTAATTATTACAGAATTTAAACTAGATTAAACCTATAATTATGTGACAAAAATAATCTAGATGAAATCAAATGCTCAAAATTCTTCTTTTCTTGTTAACTGCATAAAACGATTGTCTTTTCAAAAGGATCTTTTCATTTTAAAAGGCATATATGGAGTTTTACCTCGAAAAGCAGCTACAATAATTTCTCTCAGGTTGTCGACAATAGTTGGTCGAGTTTTATAAACACTGTTTTTAACATATCCTCATAATAAAACCAGACTAGATAAAATCAGAAGCATTTAAGTATTCTATTAGTTGGTGAATGCACTCTGCATTCATCAACTTATAGAATCATATCAATTCTCTCTGATGTAAGTTAAGTTTGCATTTTCAACAAATTTCTGAGAATTTTTTTTGTTTTAGCATTTGACATAAAATGATAACTAGTTGTTATAGTGGGACTAATTAGAAAGCTATGTTGAAGTAACGTCAGACATATCACAGCCACGTAGATTTTATCAAATAATAAAGATCTACTCAGGTCAAATCATGTAAATGAAAATATCTGGGAAAATCTTCGTTTGAGGGGTAGGCAACCTTAATAGTATTTTGAAGAGACATGAATTCTCCATTGAATATTGGAATAATATACTGGGTGTTCCATTTAAAATAAAAGAGTAAAATACTTTTGAGTGACCAATGTTCAATATTAATTGTGTCTCACCCTGTATAACTTTTTGGATCAAGTTTTAATTTGATTTAAAGTACAATAGTTAATTTAATTTCATATTAGGTTATACCGGGTAAATTCCAATTTAGGTAGCTTTTATTGTAATTTAAAAATTGTTCTTTATTTCTAGAAAATGTTAAATATGTCAAAAACCTTACATTTTAGTCATACCGTTATCTTATAAAACTCACCTTTATTTTTCTCCCAGAATCCGAAAGTCAATTAATATATAGGGTGATCCATTACAAAAAACACAACTTTGATAAGTAACTTTTTTTGGGGACACCCTGTAGAACTCTCTATAAGTGCTCTGAATCAACCTACATATGCTAACAAAATTTCATTTCAATACAAACTATCGTTCTTCTTGGAGCCTCCGCGGCGTATGAGAGGCGCCCTGTATATTCTTTAACACTAAATATTAAATAACTTAAAAATGATTTATTTTAGGTATAGGAACACGTATAATCAAAAAGTAACGAATTAAAAAACCTTTTCATTAGTGAAATAAAAAAATGGGTTTCCACTTGAAATGATGAAATGATTTATGATAATTTTTTAAATATAATAATATATGTATATATTATTATATATATAATATATAATAATGGCTCAATTCCATGACTGCTACAGCCAATAGTATACAACATTCAAACAATTTAATTTTTAAAATAGAATAGCCACATGTCTCTTCTTTATGCCGCAGTGGCTGCGGTAATCATTAAATTTGTCGTATAGGCTATACGGAGTGTTTTGACAGGCAGTTTATTTCCCTCCAAAAATTTTAAATATTTTTTCTCTCGAAAACGGTTAATGTTAAAGTGCGTTCACATCGGCTGTGCCGCTCCGCACCGCGCCGTTCACTTGTGCGCGTTAAAAAAATACACTTCAAAAGTACATGTTAAAAAAATGTTTTGCGCTGAGAGGCGCAGCCGTGTGTACGCACCTTTAAGCCGCATATACACTTAGCGAACGCATACGGCCGCATGGCTTAGAACGAACGAATTCGGGAAATGTGTACGTAGCAACTAACGCATACGTTCGCGTGTGGTTGCGTTCGCTGACTTGGCGGTACTTCAAATGAAATACTACCGCACGCAAACAGATGTATGATGCGTTCACTAAGTGTGTAGTAACAGCGAACAGCGAAAAAGTACTTCAAACAAAATCACCGTACCTGTACGGATTTGGTCGAACGTATGCGCTCGCTAAGTGTGTACGCGGCTTTAGATATAGAGTGTTTGATATCAAAATTCATAAAATTTTACAGAGAATTTAAGTATGTAATAAAAAATTGGGGTACCCCTTTAAAATAAGAAAGTTGCTGCCTCCGGTAGTGCCAGAAGTGTTCGCCATATATTAAAAATATTTTTGATCGATAGATCACGTTGTGAAACAATAATGTGTAAAAAATCTCCGATCTAGATATATTGTAGTTCTCTAGAAATTTCTAATGCACGCTCAGCCTGGAGTACACCCTGTATATCAAAAAGACTTTCCCGCTAAATTTATACAAAGGTAAATATCTAAAAAGATATACTTTTATCCTTTTATCACAGAATCAGAAATAACTTTTACTTCTTTATACACAGTATCACCACAGTATATCGAATATTTATTTCAACTTTTTTAAAACGCTATTATTTAATTTAGACCATTCGACCTTGAAACGTACATAGCTCAAAGCAATAAACGGTTAAAAAAAATTAAAAGAAAATAGATGTGAACGAACGTTTATAAACAAACGTAACATTTCATTTAATAAATTACCAGAATATTTTCACACTTACATTTTTCTAAATAGAAAAATGTCACAATTTATTGACGCCTAATAAAAATAATAAAAATAAGGATTATTTCACGTTTACTTTGAACGGTAGCGATCTAAACATGTATGACGACTCTGAAGATTCTGATTACGAGTTTTGTTATATATACGACGCAGATGAAATTATCGGTAATTATAATTTAATATTTACTTTAATTCTTATTATTTATATCGCTTTTTTAGAAGAATGTCCAAGAACCTCCACATACGAACAAAGGATATCGCAATTGGCTGAAGAATCGCGTAAAGACGCATTTCAAACAATTTTTCACCAAAAAAAAGAGCAAATTTTTTCACTGCCAGGAGTTAATTTCTTGAAATTTACTCATAGATATATAAAATTTTGTTTTCAACCCAATTTAATATACAATGGCATATCCCAAAAATATATATTTTACTGTTCTTTGAGGTATTTAAAAAGATACGGTAAATGGATTTTAAAAAGAGAACCTATGCCAGCGCAACCGTTATATCGTAAAGTTATTCCTTCTGTTTTTATTGAAGATGATATTATTAGTCTCAGTATGGTTATTTGTAAAGTATATGAAGAGTTAAAAAAGTGGGCAAAAAGAGAAATAAAAATTCGGAGAGATAAATACGAGGTAAAACAATAAAATTAGCATATTATGTACTTTTTAGTCAATATTCTTAGTATCAGATTTAATATCTAATACAAACATTACCCTGTTACATAAATTATTTGTAGAGGTACAGAAAGGGACAAATTACTTATATTGATATAGATTTAACTGATGAAGAGTTGTATTTTTCTGATGATGAAAGACAAGCTTTGCATGAAAAGAGGATTACTGTATTGAAAAGAATGATCCCTCCCGGTTATTAGGATTATTTTATATATATTTTGTTATTTATATATTTATATACAAAACATATAAGTAACACCAGACACTTTAGACGCTTTGGTTTGTTATAAATATTGTACAATATCCTTGTTGTATTGTTATATTAGTTCCAATATTTGTTAATCTTTATATCTATATATATTTAAAATTTTATATACCTATGTTATAACTACAAAACTATTATGTTGTTTAATATTATTTAGTATTTTAATTATACTTTTTATGACCACTATACAATACATTAAATTTAGTAAAATGTGCTCTACCTAAAATGTATTAATAAAAATTAACAATTAATGTATGTCTTTTTCTAATATTAAGCTCTCCACAGTATCAACAATTGTAGAAACTTCAGCCATTGCACCAGCACCAGCGTCACCACAAATAAGCACTTTTTCAGTGACAGGAATTTCTCTATAACCCCACGAGATTAGAGTAGATATTTGATTAGCTGTTAAAGGGTGAATATACATTTTAGTGTTCATTGCAGGGCAAAATAATAAAGATTTTGACATATCCCAGGCTCGAACAGTACAAGTTAATAGATTATCACATATCCCCTAAAAGATTTTTAAATTTTATTAGAATATGATTTTAAAAACTCATAATAACATACTGATGATATTTTTCCTAATGAATTAGCATCTAAAGGAGCTATCAGAAATACATCTGCCCATTTTCCTAATTCGATGTGTAATACAGGATCACCACGATTTTTCCAAGTACTCCATTCATCATGATCAGAAAATATATCTATATCATCAGAAATATCAGTTTCTTTAAAAAAATGTTTTGCCTGTTCAGTTACTATAATACGAATCTATAAGTTTTCATTAATAAGTTAAATTAAAATACAAAAATTATTAAAGTAATATCCTCACTTTGACACTAATACTATTTTCGGAAAGCTTTTGTGTTAAAGTTCTTACTAAAATAGGTAACTTAATGGTAGCAACGCTTCCGGTGCATCCTATTAAAATATTAACCATTATTTTAATTATCCTTTACTTCTGTTACTTCTGATTGTTGTTTATCTTTATCAGAGAATCCCAGTTTTGACCACTCTTCAGAGGCCATAAGATTATTTCTCATACGGCAGTCTAGATACTCTAAAAGAAAATAATTAAGCTGAAAAGTATTACAAGATTTATTATTTGGTGCTCACCTTTTGCTTCCAGTCTACATTCAGAATTATTATTGTTATATTTACTCAAACACTGCATATAATTAATCATAGATTTCTTACATAAACCTTCGTGATCTAGAGGAAAACTACCTTTCTCAGGAGGTATAGGTTTAAAAAGTTTTTGACCAAATGTCATAGACGACATGGAGCTAAATTAAGATAAATGGCTGTTCAAGAATCAAAAACACATTATAATTATGTAAAAAAAGTTAAAAAAGGAAATTATTCTACCTATGGAAACAGATAAACCCGTGAGATCTCGTGAGATAAACACAACATAAACAGATCAATTCAATAACCTAACAATTTCTTCTTTATGAAATGATTTTAGCTTCTTCTTCCCCTTTTTTTAAGTAAACGTTTTTTTTTTCGCTGGAGCTGATCTGGACAGGGCCTACTTTGTTTACGCCTTTGTAAGCTGCTAGGACTATCCGGCCTGGCCATAAGGCACCACCACAGTCCATCATATTTACATTTCAGAATAGTTCTTCTGAACAATTGATTTTATCCAAATCTACGTACTCAATGGTTTATGGTTTGTATTTTATTTTAGATATTTTTTTAGATTATATTTTTTATTTTTGTCCGATATTTGTTTGTATTTGTGTTTTGCTAAGGTGTTTTGTGATATTTTTGGTATTTGATTTATGTGGTCATTTTTTCAAAAGTATTTTAATACTCAAAAAATGTAATCTAATAACAATGACATTCTTTTCTATGATTCTTTTCAGCAATTTAGAATGTTAAGGTTTGATAGACATTAAAAATATTAATACAATTTAAAATATTTCTTTTATTCTTTTAGGTTATCCAAGAAAAGATTTCTGTTGACTATTTGGGTAATTTTAACTCTGTCGTTTATATTCTATTCAGAATATCTGCTTTATAAATTAAATACCAAGAAGTGGTATCAGATCCCGTGCAGAAATCCAAGAGAATGTACAAGAATTCTGCTTGTAGCTGATCCACAAATTATAGGCAATTTAAATGAAGTTTTCCATCCTGTAACTCCTTTTACTATTTTAGATAGTGATAGGTATTATCAAAAGTTAATTAATAAAGTACAAAAAAACGATCTTTTTAATATTTATTAGATATTTAAAAAATACGTACTCTGTTGCTTACCAGTTTGTAAAACCAGATGTTATACTTTTCCTGGGAGATTTAACAGATGAAGGCCATATTGCTAGCGATGATGACTTCTATAATTATGTTAGAAGACTTTTTCAAATATTTTTATATCCATTTGAAAATGACCAACATGTTAAGGTGCTTTTACATTTCTACTCTCTATTGTTTTAAATATTACTATTTTAGCATATTTGGATACCGGGAGATAATGACATTGGTGGAGAGGATACAAAAGTAACTCTAAAAAAATTACAAAGATTTGATAGAGCATTTTCACAACCCAGTTTAAACAAAATAAATAACATAACAATTTTCAAAGTTAATCGACTTACTTCTATCATACCAGATTATAAAAAAGAGAGAGATTTTTATGATACTAGTAATATTTTTGTTGGTATTAGTCACATGCCTTTAATGTTCCTTCCATCACCTTTTGTCAGACAAGTATACTATTTATTAATAAGCTAAGTTAAAATAAAATAAAAGTAACTATTTTACTTAGGTGGTTGACAAAATGTTACCTCACATATTTTTTACTGGTCATGAACATAAAAGCATGATAATTAGTACAGATGGTTTGCTACGTCAAGATTACCAAATTACACCTGTTACACCCGACAATACACAAGTGTATGAATTTACCTTAGGAGTAACTGATATGTATGAAATAATGATTCCAACATGTTCTTACAGAATGGGTACAAATAAAATTGGATATGGATTCGCTGTAATTGGTAAATACGAACTCTAATACTAAATATTTTTTATAACATTTTGTGGCATTTTTTAGAGAATAATGAATTAAAATTTACTATATTATGGTCACCACACAGATTTGAACACTTAGCCATATACCTGGTTCTGATTGTATTACCCCTTCTTATATTTTGCATATCCAAAAGTTGTGGCTGTGTTATAAAATTATCAAAATCAAATTATAAGTATTCATATTTATAATATTTTGTATTATACATTGTATATAATATATTATTTTTTTTTTATTTCCTATTGACACAAAAAGGTATTTATTAGTAGATAAAAGGACTTGTTTATAAATTTCCAGTTCCTTTTTAACCCTCAACTGGCGTGGTTGGGTCCAGGGGACCCCAAGCTCTATTTAAACTTCTGTAGAATGTTTACGTTTCACATTTAGGCCTCGTCGTGCCACTTACCTGTAAGTTAGGGTACTCATATGCAACCGTTAAAGGCGCACTTTTTTTATCAAGTATTGTTCCTACCAGGGGGAAGTGAAGTTTCATTGGGGTCTCTGTGGCACCACCACGCCAAGAATGTTTCATTATTAGGAAGGTGGGTAGTCCAAAAAGTGTGCGTCACGGGGACCCTAATTTTGAGGAAGCATTAATTGAGTGGTTTGCTGAACTTAAGAAACTTAAGTGATATGAACATCATCAAGACATTGATTTTTCTCCGAAGAGTAACCATAACTCCGATTCTGAATCTCTTACTTATAGGGCTATACTGAACATAAAAAGATTGAAACTAAATAATTTGTGAATAGATAAAAATGGAATTTAAAACAAACATTAAGTTAGTCTTCAAATATAGTCGTAAATCTTGTATTAACTATCCAGGACTAGTACATCCGCGAACGGGTCGTTTGGCGGTCGACGTTGAGTCGAAGTAATTGACACTATTATTTGCCTATGAAGGTAGAGTGGAAGGAGATTCGCTCAGGGTTCGTTTCGAGACGCTTCCGCTTCGAAAGCCAGACGACCCGTGTGCGGAAGCTCTAAATGTTGAGTAAGTTGACTTTATAAGAGATAAAAAAATAGTATTACTTTGGTATTAGTTCTCCAGAATTTTTTTATCCCGTATTTTGATTGCTGAAACTCGTTTAATTACATTACAAAAATTATAATACCACAAACTAACTTTTATAAGTCAGTGATAATACATATTATAGTATTTTATCTGATGTTTACATTAGAATGAGAAACATTAATTAAACTTGTAATGTAAGTTTTTATGGATATATTTGTAATTAACAATATCATCACAATATTAAAATTTTATATTTAAACAAGTTCAGTCAAAAGTTCACTAAATGGAGTATTAGTATATAATTGCAATATTAATAAACAATGGTATTTATCAAATACACTATACACTATTCGAAATACTTAATCTATTCAACTCAAATTATATATATACTATTAGTAACTTTAACAAATACGTAACTGTTATTATTATTATTACTCAAATTGTAAAGAAAGTGTCATGCTTATACAGATAAATAGATATAGCCACCCATAAGCCGGTACCCCATAAGTTCATAAACAAATATGCTGCATGGGTTTGAGCTGTGGGGATCCATCCAAACGGGAAAGTGTTTCTGAGCAACTCGTGACCTACATAGAGAAAGATGGCGTTCATGCCGGGGTAAAAGAATGGTCTACCACCCCATTTTCTCAAGATGTCCACTATGATAAACAGAAAAGCTAGAATAACGAATGCCATTCCACCAGTAACTAGGACAAACGAAAGGGACCACAATTGTTTATTAACGGGTATGGGTCCGTTATTCATAGAAAATGTACTTAGTGCGCCTCCCAATAAACCCTAAAAATAACGACATTAACAAACATATTTTCTACTGAAGTTATAAATATTTACTGTGACACATCCCCATACAATCCATCTGATACTTTTTGCTTTAACGTTTTGATAGGTATTCAAGGTTCTGCCAGCCTGCACTCCTAAATACACTGTTAGAACAGCTGTTAATGTTCCTAAGATGCCTGTAAAATATAACATTTATATGTGTGTGAGAATTTATTTTTGCAAACGTTCTCCGAGAATGAACGAGAGGAAGAATTTATAATTAGCACAAAGAACATCAGTTGGAATATCAATCAGCTACTTTTTTAAAATGGATTTCTTTTCTCGTTTTTTCGTATCATTCTCGGGAAAATGAGAATTTTTAGGAAAATTAGAACAAATAGATATTCAGAACAGAACACCTTATCCTCCCTGGCCATATTCATATTGCGCAGTAAATATCAACACACTATATACTGCAACTTGCAAATTAAAACGGCAAATCAGTAGTTAAATCTATAAAATAGTTACAATAGTATATTGCCCATTAAACTCCTAATTTCGGCGACAAAGAACGAGACGTAATTTTCCGGGTGTTATCACGTTGTCGCTTGCCAAAGTATACAGAATTGATATTACAGTTGAGGGTTGGAACCTTTGGTGTTACACAGCAAAATAAAAACACTAAATCACCACAATACACCAAAACACTTTTACTTTTACACTGGACGCGCGTTTCGCTAACCATGTTAGCATCATCAGCAAATGATTATAAACTGATATCAGATGATTATAAACTGATATCAGTTTATAATCATTTGCTGATGATGCTAACATGGTTAGCGAAACGCGCGTCCAGTGTAAAAGTAAAAGTGTTTTGGTGTATTGTGGTGATTTAGTGTTTTTATTTTGCAGAATTGATATGTAATATGGTATATTACAAACACTGTAGAGAAAATGCTATTTTTGTTATATTATTTTTGTTAACAGCATAATCTGCTTCGACTCGGAACGTTCCCGCACAATCACTCTGAACCAGTGGCGAAGCTATGCTATTGATGCGGGTGATGCGTCGCATCTTTCAAAATATTGTAATACGTTTTAATTTAAAAAAGTCACTGAGATCTCCTATAATAAATTAAAATTCTCAGTAAATTTATTCAAATAATTAAAATAAATTTCAATTATTTTAATGTGTGTATTCGTCGAGCTTTATAGATAACTGATGTGAACTTAGCAGCCAAAAGATAGCGGCCGATTTGCCGAACATAGCCGAAGGGCCAGTGGCGTCGGGCGACTTAACTTAATATGAAATAATCATACAATTTCTTGCAGGAGGATTTTATTAATATTTAAATAGTACTAAAACGAAGTATGCTTCATTATGTTAATATATTATCGCAGTATCGCGCGTCGCGATTAGGCCATTCTAAGTGATTTGTATCTAAGTGCGGCTGTAAAATAGAAATAATTTTGCCATCATCCTTCATGTATGGTGTATTCAGAAAAATTAAAAACTATTGAAGAAGGGCCTCCAAAGCAAATTTTGAATATTGTTACGTTTTTCGTCGGTTCCGTGTGGATAGAAAGTCACAATTTATTTAAACACTATTTATTTAACACTAATTAACAAAAACAATAACGATAAAAGACTTATAGAACTATTTACAAACGATTTATAACTAAGAATTTATTTTGAATTTTAGCGCGTCAACTGCACTGGTATATTTATAACTGCCCTCTCTAGGCCACTGCCGCCGGCTTTATACCGACAGGTAAAAATCTAGAATAGTCCAAAGATCGTTAGGCGCATAGAGAAGGTTTTCGAATGTTCTCGTATGTACTAGTCCATTCTAGTGGGTCTCGATTCTTCTCGAACGTATGAATCATTGCGGTGTCTATGCGATGTTAAGGTCATCCGAGGGCGGGCCATATTGTGAGGTTAGGTCGAGTCCACACCGGCTCGCAACACTGCCCCCTTCTTAGGCACATGCTCGTCCCGAGATGTATACGGTGAATGAAGGTATTTGCAAAGCTGGCCCCTGGTACATTGCGAAGTCTGGTAGAAATAGCAGTCTACAGTTTTCTCTCCCGATCTCAGCTTTGGGTTGTAGCAGCAAACGAGGATCTCGATTCCCGTAAATCTGAACAAGACTTCAATCATGTTCCGGATTGTACGCCAACTCAAACCATCGAGTCCACACGCCAGCTTCGGAATGGCTAATCGTGCAATGTTGTTGTTTAGCAGGGCTTCTCTCAGTTCAATCAGGGTCTTCCATAGATTGAGATAAGTCGGCTTACTCGGGGACCATTCCTTGGTGACCAGGTAGAAGATGTGCCTTGCTTGACCATGTGCATTGTCGGTTAGCCTCAAGACGCTTCCAACCTCTGGATCCTGTCGGCGTAGTTCTCCGACACGCCCAAACTTCTCATTGAACGTCGCAGCGATTCCTCTGGACATCCGCAAATCTCGAGCCACACAATGAGCGAGCGAATAATCAGGAGGCACGGAAAAGAGGTCTCGTTGATCTTCTTTGGTTACACCATAGCGAGCCTTCTCACTGCTGTTGTATCGGGCCATGAAATCGTCAAAGGACATCTCCGAATCAGGGGGATCAAAGCTGCAGGTTCTCACGGTCCCAGCACGATCTTCTATTTCGCCTTGGTAGGGGCTCAAACGGTTGAAATGGACTACCCTCGGTTTTCCTTTTGGCAATTTTCTGATACGGTATACGACGTCATTAATTCTATCCATGACTTCGTATGGCCCTTCCCACGAGGATTGTAGCTTCGGAGATAACCCACGACGTCTCTGCGGGTTATATAGCCACACCAACTTCCCTGGTTGGTATCCTCCATGCTCAGCTTGAATGTCGTAGTGTTCCTTCATTCGGTCACTAGCACTTTGAATATTTAGGCGGACTCTCTGATGAATGTCGTCCATCCTTTGACGTAGTGTGTGGACATAATCTTCTCCGGCGACTTCTTCTCCCGGTCGGCAACCAAATTTCAGATCACAGGGTAGGCGCACTTCCCGTCCCATAACGATGCTGGCTGGAGTTTGCCCTGTAGATTCTTGGACGGATGAACGGTAGGCCAACAGGAACAGGTGAAGAAATTTGTCCCAGTCTCTTTGGTGGTCAGAGACTACTTTGGCCAGATAACGGTTGATAGTTCTGTTCATGCGTTCAACCATCCCATCGGATTGTGGATGTAGAGCAGTCGTCCTGGTCTTGCGGATGTTCAGGACTTCACAGACGCCTTGGAACAGATTGGACTCAAAGTTTCTTCCCTGATCTGAATGAAGCTCCATGGGAACACCAAACCTGCAGATCCATTCTTTAACAAGGGCATCAGCAATCGTGGACGCTTCTTGATTTGGCAACGCGTAGGCCTCGACCCATTTGCTGAAGTAATCCATTACTACCACAATGTATTTGTTGCCATCGTTCGTCTCCGGGAAAGGACCAGCCACGTCGATCGCTATTCGTTCGAAGGGACTACCAACATTGTACTGGCGCATAGGGGCTTTACCACGCTTTTGTGGCCCATTAATGGCTGCGCAAATGTCACATTTCTTACACCAGGCCCTCACATCTTCTTTGCAGTTCACCCAGTAGAACCGTTCACGCAGCTTGCCAAGTGTCTTGGTAACACCAAGATGTCTCCGCTGGTTCCATTGTGAACTTCCTCCAACACTTCTGGGACCCTCTTCTTTGGAATGACGATCTGCCTTCTCTCTTCTTGTCCCTCCGGTCTCTCGATCACACGGCGAAGTAGTCCGTTATCTATTACCAAGGAATTCCACTGGGCCCAGTACGACTTTACGTTCGGCGAATATCTGCAAACTTCTTCCCACGTTGGTCTTGGCCTGTGTTTTTCCAGTTAATTACTAAACCTAATTCTGGGTCACTGGTTTGGTCATTTGCAAGATCTTCGGGTTGCCAACTATCATTAACCACAGTTGTTCTTAGGAGTTTCACTTCTTTCTCTTCTGCTCGGGAACAATGCTTACAGTCCTTAGCGCAAGGTCTTCTGGAAAGTGCGTCGGCATTCCAATGGATTGCCCCAGCTCGATGTTCTGTGTCGAAGTCAAATTCTTGTAATTGTTCAATCCATCTAGCTACCTGCCCTTCAGGATTCTTAAACTGCAACACCCATTTCAAAGCAGCATGGTCTGTTCTTAACAAGAACTTTCTTCCATAGAGATACTTGTAGAAGTGTTCCACTGCTTTAACTACTGCTAGTAATTCTCGTCTGGTTACACAGTAGTTCCTTTCCGGTTTTGACAAGGTCTTACTAAAATATCCAATGACTTTTTCTTGACCATCCTGGATCTGAGACAGAATAGCGCCTAACGCAACATTGCTAGCGTCGATATCCAATATAAAGTTTCCGTTGCCAAGAGGGTAGCTAAGTATGGGCGCACTAGTCAGGTCCTTCTTCAATTTTCGGAATGCCTCGTCAGAATCTGAGTCCCAAGAGAAACGCCTCTCGCCTTCGGTAAGTCTGGTCAATGGTTTTGCGATGGTGGCGAAACCCTGTACATAGCGGCGATAATATGTGCATAGTCCCAAAAAGCTTCGTAGTTCATGTTTGTCTTTAGGTATTGGCCACTCTTCCACTGTCTTGGTCTTCTGTAGATCTACCGCAACTCCTTGGAAGGAGACTACATGGCCCAAGTAGTGTACCTTTTCTTGACACAGATGACATTTCTTGGGGCTAAGTTTCAAACCAGAGCTCCCTAGTCGCTTGAAAACTTCTTCCAAATTCTTCAGATGATCGTCAATGGATTTCCCAACCACTATGATGTCATCCAGGTACACTAAACAGGTAGTCCAGGATAGTTTCTTTAACACAGACTCCATTAGTCTCTCAAAGGTAGCTGGCGCGTTGCACAATCCAAAAGGCATGACGGTAAATTGCCACAGTCCGGAGCCCACCGAGAACGCTGTCTTCTCTCTGTCTTTCGGCGCCATGTCGACTTGCCAATATCCACTCTTCAGATCTAACGTAGAGAATATCGTTGACCCCGCCAATGTGTCTAGAGTATCGTCTATCCTCGGCAGGGGATAGCTATCCTTCTTGGTAACATTATTGAGCTGCCGATAATCAACACAGAACCTGGTGGTACCGTCTTTCTTCTTTACTAGTACTACCGGCGATGTCCACGGGCTGTTAGATGGTTCGATGACACCCTCTTCTTTCATTTCTCGAAGGATTTTGTCAGCTTCTTCACGTTTGGCGAGCGGAAGTCTTCTCGGATTTTGTTTGATTGGTCGTGCATCTCCGGTGTCAATTTTATGTTGTACTAAATTGGTACGACCTCTATCTCCTGCTTCTCCTTTATCAAACACGTCTTGATACTTGATTATTAGGTTTCTCAATTTTCTACTATTTTCGGGAGATAATCCTTTAACGTTTACTAACTCCTTCACCATTTTGTCCGGAATTTTTGAAGTCGAAACTTTGGAGGCTTCCACGCTTCGAATGACTGAGGAGCCGAACAACAGTACCCTAAAAGGGTTCCCTTCTTCAAGGATACAGAATAATAATTTGTGTTCATTACTCTCGCCGGTACAGTTTTCTTCGCTCGTAGCAGGGCTTTTCCAACAGCGATCCCCCGTCCTATTTCGCTGTCATGGTTCCTTGGCTCCAACAGAATAATACTCCCATTATTCATTTTATCTTCCAGGCAACCATCCAAAAATATCTCACAGCGCTCAGGGATCGAAACATCTTCTGCTACCACCACGCGAAGCGTCTCCTCACATTTTCGATGTAGAACCACTTCTTCTTCATTTATTTTCAAAATTCCCTGTTTGAAGTTTAGTTCAAAACCTCTAGTGGCCATGATGTCCATTCCGAGAATAAGTTCATCTTCGATATCTGCTACTACCACTGGATGTTCAAAACTGGTGCTCCCAATAACAAAATTAAGGTTTACTTCTCCATGGACAGCAGCAGAGCCCCCCGTAGCAGTACGTAGTCGCCATTGTGTTGTTTTAACCTTCTTCGATGTTTTAAGAATGTCCGGTCTGATAATAGTTTTCGTCGCTCCTGTATCCAACAGCATAGTCCGGAACTCTCCATCAACAAAACCATCCACAAACATGCTGTTGAATTTGTGTTGTAGCGAGGCGACTCGAGCAGTTTTCGTTGGGGCATGTTGGGTACAGGTCGACGTGTGCCCCTTCATTTCGACCCTTAGTAGTTTTCCGACCTCGACGAAGCCGGTTCTTCGTTCTTCTCCTTACAACGGCTTCGCACGTGTCCTACCTGTCCGCAGTTCCAGCAATGAATCAGTCCCTTCTTGCCCATGTACTGGTCCATTACTTTCCGAACAATCCCTTCCACGGATTCGTCAGAACATTCGTCGATGGCCCGTACTCTTCCTAAAGACCGAGAACTTTGTTTCGCGGCCTCAAATTCTAGGGCACGTGCTAAAGCATCCACCAAGTGCGTTGGGTGGGCTAGGAGAAGTGCTTGTCTTGTCTCGTTGTCACGTAAGTCGTCGGAGAATGCCTGTACTGCCAACCGCTCCATAACATTCTCTGGCGTAGCAGGGTACGCAAGGCGAACGAGGCGGGCTACGTCGGCTTCAAACTCCTGCAGAGACTCATTTGACTTTTGAATGCGATTTTTTAGCTGGGAATGACATGTTCCAAATGAGCTTGGCCGTACCTCATTTCTAAATGTCGTACCAATTGCTGATAATCTCCCTGTTCCGATGGTGACAATGTCTGCAGAATATCAGTCGCATCTCCTCGCAGTGCGACAGTCAAAGCGGTAGCCTTTTCAGCGATTGTCCATCCGTTCGCTCTCGCAACGGCCTCAAACTGGCAAAAATAATTGGCCCAAGCGGTCTTTCCGTCAAACTGTGGAGGCTTAATAACTGACTTTGAGATATACTTATTTTCGACTAGTTTCGGCACCTCCGATGTTTCTTGACATTTTGGTGAATTTGACTTCGCTATTTCTTCTCTTAAAATTTCGATTTTTCTATTTACATCTTCCTCAATCTCTGTTATTTTGTCTTGTGTATTTGTTATCTTTTCTTCTAAATTAAGTATTTTGTTATTAAAGCTGGCCTGTATGTCCTTAGAATTTTCTGCGATCCTATCTTCTAAAATATTAATTAAATCCTGGGAATTTTTCATCATTTTATCTTCTAAATTATTCAAATTGCCGTTTAAATTGTCTTGCAATTCCCGGGAATTTTTCGTAATTTTATCTTCTAATTTTTGTAAGGACGAGTCAAGGTCACCTTCCAACGGTAATTATTACGAACAAACAGAAGGTGTCGCAATGGGTAGCCCAATCAGCCCAATAATTGCTAATTTCTTTATGGAGAGATTTGAAGAAAAAGCGCTAGAGTCATCCGTTCTGAAGCCCGCTGTATGGTTTCGTTATGTGGACGATACATTTGTGGTTTGGAAACATGGACGTGACAGCCTAGATGACTTCCTTCATCACCTTAATTCGCAGAGCCCGAGCATAAAATTTACCATGGAAACCGAAGTAAACAACCAACTGGCCTTCCTCGATGTGCTTGTCAAGAGAAATGGCGACCTTTTGGATCACACGGTGTATCGAAAACCCACTCATACAGACCGCTACTTACACAAACTATCAAATCACCATCCAAGCCAAAAACAGGGGATTATCGGAACATTAGCAAATAGGGCAAGACGTATAGGGCACCCGGTATATTTTATTTCTAAAATTGTAATGGTAAAATTTCATTTCCGGTGTCAAACTTCCTATTAAGTAGTAATTTTTAATTTCAGAATCCCATAATAATTCCGGTTTTTAATAAAAATAATCATAAAGGTCTTTATTAACAAAAATGAAATTATATGGACGAAGTCTTGCTACATAGCTATTCACACTCAACCCACAATAAATTAACATTATAAAATCTTTTCTTTGTGTAAACAAATTAGTTGTAAATGTTTTTCACGATCCCAGTCAATAACTGCGTCCCCCATTGTCGAATACTCGGTAAAAAATAAAAATCACAGATGGACGCCCGAAATTAAATGAGACCCTTCCAAGTGTCCGGTACAATGTCCGCCGAAATGCACGCCGTTTGCTCCTTTTGATTTACCGACATCCGTCGGAAAAAGAACGCGCGCGCTCTAGTGTAGGCAGACGCACGCTCTGGCGTACAAGCTAGCCGTTCGGCGCTTCGCGCTCCTTAATAGGCCTAGGCTAGCTGTACTTGTTGGCTTTATTATTTATAAAGCTTGATTTTCATGCATCCGTTATCCGACGATACGATGATACGATATTGATTTTATTGGTTGAATTTAAAGACTTCGATTGGTTAGAGACGGTTAACCAATCGAAGTCTTTAAATTCAACGTCGGACAACGGATGCATGAAAATCAAGCTTAAATCTACCTATCTCACAATTTTCACTTAGTATCTGTTTAATTAAATATGTTCGCGAACATTTTGTTCGAATAGCTTGGACGCGGCTTAACAGATACGTTAGTTCTTTTTTTAAATTGGTTTGATTATTTTTTTTAACCTGTTACCTACATTTTTTGTATATTTTATTTTTGTAACTTCAAAATTAAAGACTTTAAAAAAAGGAAAAAAACTTTATGGTGTTAGGTTAGGGTTAATTGGTAAAATGTTAATTGCAGAGTTACTTATTACATCCACTTGTATTGACACCACGCTCCGACGCTCCGCCGCTGCTCTGAACGTTAGCAAACGTTACCTCGTGACGAATGGGAACGTTCTGTGTGTGTGCACAATAATGGACAATTTGCATGCCCATATAGAATACAGAAAAAGGAACTTTGGAAATTGAAATAGGACAAAATACCCAATAATTACTAGTGTGCACGAAACCAAACCAAACAAAGGGAAAATATTTATTGCATGCTCAATGACAAAAATGTGACAATAAAATTATTTCCCTTTAAAGATGTAAAAAGTTCAGTTAGATGATGTAAGACATTGAAGTGTCCATAGAAAAGAACAACTTCAACCTTACATATCAGTTATTTCGTTAAATTAGAAAATCAAATAATCTAGATATATTTTTAAATAATTTTGAACGGTACTATAATAGTAAAATAAAAGTTAATAAATCATTGGGTGGTATCTGAGGGTGACGCTGTTAAAAATTTACTGTTAAAGGAACCATATGTAATATACCGTGTGTTGCATCGCCGACTTCAACATAGGAAATCACATGTAAATTTTAAAATGAAGAATAAAAGATCCCCATTTTATTTTAGGGAAAAAAATATTTTCTTAAAAGGAAGCAAACTTTGAATGGTTTGAAGGTCCTCAGACTAATGCTCTTTAGGGTTTCCACATAGACTTTATTTCAATAGCTCAATAGTATTTTTTTCCTATTTGTTGTGAATTTTTTGGCACGCATTGCATATAGACTTTAATGACAAATACAACTTAGAAATTTGTGTATACACTTCATATTAATACTTACCTTCAGGATCAAAATACACGTTGTTTTCATACACTCTTTGGCATGCAGGATGTTTATACATGTGCTCACCAAATACTTGTCTATCAATATAACCAGCAGCACCTCCAGTACAATTGAAGTAACTTCCACCATCATCTAATCCTCCAGGCCCTAATGCAAAATAAACCAGTCAGCGATTTGTCTCAATTAATGTATTTAATTTTACCTAAATATCCTTTTCCACAACCTGGTACATTTACTAAGAAGGTAATACAAGTATGAATTGCTACCAACATTGATACAAACAGCCACTGAGGCCAGGCTTGAGTTATATCATAAACACATGAAATACTCTGAAAAATAAAAACTCCCTGTGAACCAATGGTACCTTATGCATTTGTTTAGCTTACATCAATTTCGATTCTCTTAGTAAATATAATTTCTAGCATTCCTACAATTAGGTAAGTTACTCCGATTCTTTGTAAGACACCAGGTAATCTCAATTTTGCAATAGTTAGATTGTGTTTGCTTGAATTAATTACTATTCCCAAGAATATGAGAAGAAGAGTCCTCCTAATTACTTGGAAAACTAATGTACGTCTGGGAACTGCCCTTCTTAATTTATTTTGTAACGAGATTGTTAAAGAGAGTCCCATAATCCACATAAACCTTTAAAAAAAATAGAATGAATAAAAAAACAAAATCTAGAAATTTCATATTATCAAAATAAAAAAAATAGATCCAATTATAAGAATATATTATTTTGATCTTATTACCAAGGAAAAACTAGATCAGCAATAGTTAAACCATTCCAAACTGAATGCTTGAAGAACCAGTATTGACCTCCACCATAATTAATAAAGATCATAAGAATAATGCATAGACCTCTAAAAACATCTATAGATTTGATTCTATGTGGATGTTTTCTAATTGATGGAGGTCTTTCGATAACTAATGGTGATGAACCTGTCAGATCCTTAAACAATAAAATGCAGATAATTTAAAGATATGTATATCAACCACTGAACATCAAGTTTATAAAATTGGAGAGCCATAAATGATAATGGGTGTGTGTAAGATCTAATAACAAAATTATATAGATATTACACCTATTAGACACTTAATACAAGAAAGTGAAAAACAGTATGATTTACAAAGAAATACCTCTTCAAGTTCAGTACTCCAAGCTAAAACTCGTCTCAACCTTCCACTATTCTTATAAATACATTTAACCATATACCAAAATGTTCCGAAACTGAACAGTATGATGAATGCCATAAGAATTGCTAAAATTAATTAAATTTATAATAATATAAATAAGGATATTAGTAATAAAAATAAATGTATTTAATTTCTTATTACTTACGCAAATAAGAATTATCTGCTGGCTCCTTAATATAAATTAAATCACATTTTGAAGTGGAAGTAATATTCCAACCATATCTATAATGTTCATAGAACAGCTTTGTGTACCTTTAAATGAACAAAATATTACTTTAAAACTACAGTATACTTATAATATGCATGAAACATGGCATACCTGCAAGATTCATTGAAATCTCCATATATTTGTAAAGGGGAACGGGTATTTATTAACAAAGATATATTATTAGATAAAGGTGGCACTATTGTTAAATTCTGAAATTTGCAATTGTGGCATTCTTCATATTGACCCCTTATTTGAACAGTTTGATTAAGGTGATTGGAGATGTCCAAACATGCCTCATCATAATCTAGATTCAGTATTTTTTCAAGACATTTGTTTTTATTTTCAAATAACATATTTGCTCCTCTAGAAACCATTATTTAAATTACAATATGCATGAAAAGTGAATGGTATGAATAATAGCTTATTAATCTTTTGTTTGTAAATTTAATTAACAAGTAGTTACCTCGTTCAACTCGAAACCTAACAAATCACAATTATTGTTGAAAAGTCTTCGATATTAGCAATTATTACTCTAGATCAGTTTTTTCATCATTTTAATTATCAATCTGTGATTATCAATAGTTTTGACTGTGATTACCATAGGTGATTACTCATTCCCTTAGGTTTTGTTTTGATGGTTTTGTTAACAAATAATAATAAAAGTGACAAGCTATGGTGACAAGCACAATAAAATGTCAAAATATGATCAAGATTTTGCGCCTATTTCATATATAATTCTTGTCATATATTTTATTTTCTAGCAGTATGTCTGTACCATGTCTGTGCTAGAATCGTGCTAGAATCATAATTTAAAATTGCGAGGTTGCCAAAATGTAATTCTAAGCTTTAATCTGTGGCAAAATCGTACAATTTCCGCTTATTGACATTTGACATTACCGGTTCCATTTTGACAGCGACTAAAAACACTTTTAACGTTCAGCTTTTATGCTTTGGTGTTTTTGTCGATTTTTAAAGATTTTAATTACAATTTTCAAGGAATTCAGGCCAACACTAGTTTTTAATGAGAAAACAGCTTTTTAGCGGTGGAGTAAGTACAATACATGCGTTTGGTTCGGTATATTTAGTTCTGTTTTTTTAGGAAAAGATGGAAGTGAAAACTGATTTGGATCTCAGCGGTAAATTAATTATTAAAGTTCAGTTTGGGGATGATATTCGTCGAATTCCTATACACAACGAAGCTATTACTTATGATGAATTAGTTCTAATGATGCAACGTGTTTTTAGGGGCAAATTAAGTGCTAATGATGACATTACATTAAAATATAAAGATGAAGGTAATTTTTCAATTAATATAATATTTTAATATATTCTCAATATGAAAAATATAAATATTCTGAGCATTATATATTAAAAATGATTGAATGTATGCTAGGAAAATATGGATTCAATATTTGTTTGGAATATTTTTTTCGAGTAGCAAAATTAATATTATATTCCAGATGGTGATCTTGTAACAATTTTTGATAGTACAGATTTGTCATTTGCAATTCAGTGTAGTAGAATTTTAAAACTTCAAGTATTATTAAATTCTGAGATAAAAAAAGAGTACGAAGGAATTACACAGACTGAAGTAGTAAACTTGAAAAAACAAATTAAAACAATTCGTGATCAAGTTAATAAGCTTTTGGACATTTTGGATAATGTGAAACCAATGAAAAGTAGTTTAACCTTACAAGGTAATTTGTGAAAAAAATTATAAAATATTATGTATAGTAAGAATTCTCTTTTAGATCCGTCAGAGTCAGCTTTAGATTCAAGCCAGTCCAGTAATACACTAAATAAAGTAAATTCTAGTGAGTTTGATCCACTACAGGAAAAGAGTCAGAAAAATGGAACTGAAGAACAAAAGGAACCTTCCAAACCATCTACTCCACAAGTAAGTTTTGGTATTGGAACAAAGGCATAAGTGGGAATTAAATTTTGATAAAATCTTTAGATTAGCAGTGAAGGTTCTAATTCGAGGCCCCAGTCTGCTTCAATGATCCCTTCAAGTAATCAAGTCAGTGGGCCACAACAGCCTCCTGTTCCGACTTCTGCTGCAGCCAATCCACACATGAGTGATTATTTTGCCAGAGGTTCTCTAAGCATGCAGTACCCAGGCCTTGGGGGATATCCCCAACAGTACAATTTTCCGTCAACTGGGTATGTTGTATGTATTCTTGTTTTTATTAAATGTAGTGAAATTGTTGTAGAATAGTTATTTCAGGTGCTTCATTTTTTTACTGCTTTTTGTTTTTATTTGAATAGTGTTTTATATGAGATATTTATATAATTATATAAATATCTTAGTTTATATTAGTTAGACAGTTGTTTTAAAATATTATATTTTTAATTTAAAAGAAGAATCTAATTAATATAATTTTTTGTAGTTTATACAGAAGATAATGTTGATCTAAAAATGCACTGCCATTTGAGAATTAATAGAGTTATTTTAAACAAAAAAGGGGCCAATAAAAATTGCATATTATAAATTTAATATTATAATGAAATGCAAAGCCCTTAAAAAAACTGTTGTTCTTTAAACAAATTAAAAATACCTAAATGATCATACCGAGTTTGGCAAATATTTTTACTATAAATAGCTTCTCTCCAGTGTAATTAAAAATATCTTTTTCTACTTAAACCTTAAAGTCTTAACAAATTTGTATTATATTGATATAAATGAAGATCTAGACTATTAACTATTTCTGTTTGGCTGGCCTAAACAGTTTAAGTTTAATAATATTCTATAAAAACAATCATTTTACCCTGATAATTCAAACTCTCTTGTATAAAACAACAATTTAAACATATTGACAAATTATTGAACCAATTATGATCTTATATATTATTGGAGATGTCTTTATATTGTTATGTGAAGTAGGGGTCAAATAATTTCCTTTTTTTGTGTAGGATGAAGAAATACCATATCTTGTTCCGCGATCATGATCAATATTTTATTTTCTGTATGGTTAATTTGTCATTACTGTGTTCTGTATATGATGAAATTAATATTAGATCACCTGTTTTTATATTCTCCTATTTATACCAGGTGGTGCATCGTCGTTGGAAACAGGAAATCCCATGCAAATGTTGAACTGTCCAGATATTGGCTCCCCTATTTATTTTATAGCGAAGTCTTAAATAGATTTTTTTTAAGCTCTACGTTTGGTAAACACACATGCCAAGTTTGAACAATTTTGGACAAGCCAATTTTGAGTAATTTATGAAAAACTGAATCTATTTTTTAATTAAAACTAAATAGGTAACAATCAAACACCATGCACCAGTCAAAAACCGACATAACTTAAGTTGTCAGCGTCATTTTCAAACCTAACTTAATTTCACAAAACATCCCCCTTTAGAACTTCATCTGTCATGTTAAGAAATGAAAGTAAATAATAAAGCGCCTCTCGTGTTTGTTCGCACTCTAAAAATTTCAATTAATGCCTGTATATATTTTTAATATATTTTTTAAATTAAAATTTTTTTAATTGTAAAGTAATATATTACATTTATGGAATATATTACATTACAATTATGTCAGTTACAGGATTACAGGCTTGTTTTCTAACATTTTTTAAATAATACGAATTGTTAAATTTCAATATATGTATATTTGTCATAGGTATGAAAAAAGTAAAATATAAAATGGACAAACGCTTACTTACATTGCAATAAAACTTCCACTTTTAGTTTTGCTATCCAAACGCAATATTTCTATTTCACAAATAAAAATATCCGACAACACTAAGATCACTGAAACTTCCGCGGCTGACAACGAAAACTGAAAAATATAACGGCACTTTTCGTTTTGGACCTACATATCAACATTACGCTGTACCATTATGAAAATATCTAATATAACTTGTAAATTTTAATATTTTAACATGATTTTAACTATTTCTGACAATAACTAACTTTTTGTTATCAAGATGACATTTTAGACGGCAACTGACATATACATATGTCATAATATTTGAATTTTAAATATATATGTAATATAATTTAAATTAATATAATGCAACTTTATACTAAGAAAACATGTATACACTCACAAAATACAACAAAGTCTAATAATATAGTTTGAAAACAATGAATATTGGAATAAAATTAAAAAAGTTAAGCGCGACCCCTTGTGTCAAAATTAGATGATTAAATTTTCGCAATTTTTACACCATTTGATGACCGGTGGCGCCTCTAGTGTTTGTTCGGGCGGTTGGTCTTTTACTCCCACTTATGGCCATTAATGAAAAAGTTCTAAAGGGGGATGTTTTGTGCTTAATTTTAATAAAATTTTAATATTCAGTGAGAAGAAGTGAGCATGATAAAATGGTACTATGCGGGAAATACTATATACATTTCTAAAGCCACAATAGGCCCTCGCGGCCGCAGTGGAGGGTCCCACCTTGGACCCACTCTTAGTCAATACAATACAATTAGGGAATGCAATCCCGCAAAGGCGGGATCCCTCTGAGATTCCGCGGGATCGAAGTTGCGGGATTTATCGTGCGGGATCCGCGGGATTGACACATTACTACTGGGTAACCGAATCGATCTCGATCAGGGTCAAACCCCTTCGTTCCGGGCCGATGAGTCGACGCTCGGAACCCGGGGGACCCGTTTAACTTGTACTTGTGGACAATTTCGTCAAATTTAATAAACTGCCGGATATAATTATCGAGACAAGCAAAATTTTTGGGTAAATTTAAAGTTGCATATCTCTTGAACTAAAAAATATTTTGGGATGCGGTTTGGACCAGGTTTTAGATGCATCTATTGTGATTAAGATGCTATGTGGTTTTTGAAAATATATTTAGCGAATTCTCGTATACATGGTGTTTTATAAGAGAGTGAAAATTTGGTCAAGAATCTTTTTTACCGCAAATTTACGAGTTTTAAAAAGTCGAAATTTTTACCGAAATTTTTTAAGTACGACTAATCTGTATTGAAATTAGAAAAAACAATTTAATCGGTTTTTTAATTTTTTTTTGTTTTAAGGAAAATTGACTTTTTTTCGAAAAATATGCATTTTTAGTCATACTTATGGTCCTAAGTGGTACAAAAAGCTTTGTACATTCTGCATATGCCAAAAAATTATTGATATAGAGTGTATCTAAAAGCAGATAACTAACACAAGTTAAAAAAAAAACTTCAACATCAGAATAATATTTTTATTTATAAAATAGGTAGATAAATTATAATAAAATTTAAGTTTATTTAATATTAAATATATTTTTTGAACACCCTGTATAAATTGGTCCAAATTTCTGTACAGCTAGTTTAAGATTCACGCTATATCAATATATTGTGGGCCTATGCAAAATTTTCAATGCCTTTTGTACCATTTAGGACCAAATGTATGACTATTGTTTACAGTCCCGCAATTTTGCGAATCCGCGGGATTGATTGCTTTAATCCCGCGGGTTTGCGGGATTTAGATTTTGGTGCGGGATTGCATTCGCTAAATACAATACAATGCGGGAAATAGCTTAAACAGTGTATCTGACATGTTTTGGTTAATTTCCCCTGAATATTAAAATTAAATTAGGTACTTTTGAAAATGACAAAATCATACTTTGTAACCTACCTGACCATTGACTGATGTTTGATTGTTACCTGTTACCGTTATAATAATTTAAAAATAGTTGCAATCTTTTTTAAATTATTCAAAATCGGCTGGTTAAAAATTGTTCAAATTTGGCATGTGTATTTACCATACACAAACCTTTAAAAAATCTATATCTATGACTTCACTGTAAAATCAATAGGGGAGCCAATATTTGAACAGTTCAAAATTTGCATGGGATTTCCTGTTTTCAACCACGATGCACCCCCCGGTATATTATCACATCAATATTACATTTCTAAAGCTTTTTTTTTCTCAAAGATTGTCAAAAACCTGTAATTTGGAATATCAGTTTTGATATAATTTGACATCTTTAATTTTGGCAATAATGCAATAAGTTTTTTAATTTTAAAAAAATTTATGCAGAATAATTTTTCTTTTAACAGGTACTAAATATTAGGTCTCTAATATTATTACATGCATATATGAATCAAAGTATGTCAGACCATATATTGGGAAAGTTATGGATTACTACTGTTTACTAAATATATTTACCAATATTGAAAGACAATTAAGTGATGTAATATCCTCCAAGGAATGAAAGGCCAGACGACTCTTGTGCGGACGCTCTAAGTCTCATCTTCTAGTAATTATATCTTTATGAATACATATGACAGAAAACAATAATGTCACAAAATTTTATTCCTAACTATAAAGAAGCGATATGGAGGATTTTTGTGTAGACTAAATTTTAAGTGAGTTTAGTTGGTTTATTTTTACTCTATAATTTTAATAGCGCCGGTTGCATTTTTCTAAACGCCACACGTGATCGCGAATCGGCTCGAGCCGAGCGTCAGCTCCTAAACGCCACTTGCGATCGCAAAACACCCTGCTAAATAGCACATGTTATCGCAAATTAGCCTGCATGTGATATGCGCAAGTTATGTTTTGATTTGCTGCATACAAAATGAGTAGTTTCGTTGATTTTCCCGATTCTTACGAGTACAAAATAACTTCGGAACAAACAGTCAGAGTGAATTTAAGGACCAGAGAAGAAGTTGAAGTAAGTTATCGCAACAGGTAGTGAACCACCTTCACATTTACTTCAACCTTTAGTTCTCGAAAATTTACCGACTGATAAAAACGAAAGCTCTAGTCAGTCAGTTGATGATTACCGAGATGATAATAGTGGTACTAATTTTGATACCTGCGTCAGCGGTACAATAAAAGTGTTGACAACGCAACTACAGAGCTATTGAATGACTGGAAAAGTTTCATAACTGATCTAGACATCAAAGTGATGAAGAACCTTGAAGATGATCCCGAGAATTTTCATTCTCCGGAGAATTTTCTCGGCTCGAGCCTGTATTCAAAGCTACACAAAAAATATAAATACACACACCGGAAAAGTCTCTATATTACAATTTTATCCAGCCATCGTTAGTAATTTTATTATTTGCATTTCTGATATAATAAAATTAAAATAAACAAATAGTTTACAGGCCGTATTGGAAATAAAAATACGAAATTTACCGAATTTTTCAAATTTACCTTGATTTTTATTGCACTCAAAAAAATATACACATTTTTTTTAATTCTAA